TTTTTTTTTCAAAAAATTTTCATAATTTTTCCATCCAGAAATTTTATGATTTGAGTACATCTATGTGCAAACAAAAGAAATCATTTTTTATGACGCGAACTTTAAGGGAATGAAAACCCATTATTGGTAGCATAACTTAGCTTTCTTCAGTGAATTAATAATAGTTTCTGTTCTTTTATCGATACCTTTAATTTGATAAATCTCTTCGAACAATCAGTGTCAACTTCTGAATCTATTGGAGCCGTCCTTTCAGAATATGCTCGAGATCGGCAATGTTCTCTTAATGCAGTACTTAATGAAAAATCTGGCATTCTGCCTTGCACTTGAACAGCTGTTCCTGGTCCACAAGGTATTCCATCAGCTTTTATAAAAGAAAATTAAGATAGAATGAACAAAAAACGAGAAAGGCATATGAATAAAAAAAAGCAGTTCTATTTAAAATACCTTTGTACACACCTATAAGAAATTTCAAGTTCACAATTAATTAACCTACTAAAAAAATATTCTTTATAAACATCACATAGTGAAGATGCAATTCTTGATGGAAACTATTCAACCATGTTTTATACAAGATTTACAGAATAATAACAAAATGAATTAATTACTAACAAATAATATGTACACTGACTTGATTACCTGTCTTAGCATGGTCTATTAGCTGAGAAGTAGCAGAACTGTTATCAAATGTTCCTTCATCATTCATCGGAAGTGGAACAATAAGCTTCTGTCCAGGAAAAACCTTAAAAAAGTGAAACTTTGCCAACTGACTGAAACAAACATTCAGAATTGAAGTAGTTTTATGCTAAAGTACTCAAATATACACAATCCTAGGTAAAAATGAAAGTAATAACTTCAAAAAGGATATTGAATATCTGGGCAATATTAGTTATTTCTAAAAAGAAAGAATAAAAATTCGTGCTAGCTTATCGGAAAAGTCAAGCAATATAAGACGAATGATTCATTTATTTGAGTTTTCGATTAAAATATTATTTTGCATACTTTTATACATAAAATTTGCTATGAAATTACTTCATGAAATATCTTTCACCACTTTCCCCCTCTAAATCCTTTCTAACCGAATATTCTGTAAGCTTCATTGTTAATCTTTCTGAAATTTTCATCCTCAATCAGCTGAACTAATATTTTAAAACTGATCCTTATTCAAGCTCTTTTCGAAATTGATTCTATTTACAGATCGATTATGTGATCTTTTCTAATATTATTACAGCACAAATAGTATAAGACAAATAATTATTATACGACTGTGTTTCATTAAATTCACTCATTATCCATATTAAGCTTTAGAAACCAACAATTTACCATTCGTGTTCCTAAACGATTCATCTTCATGAGTTCGCCGACAGTACAATCATGCACTGCAGCAATCCGTTCGATAGAATCTGATGCCTTCACTATATATTCCATCTGTAATGTCAAAATAAGTAAAAAATAAAATTATCGACTCTTCTGCGTTATTTTTCCAGCTAAATAAAGAATGAAAATGCATTTCTAGAAATATTATAATAAACTTAATTACAATTTTGCTATCAACAAATAAATGCATAATATTATTATTTTCATTAGTAGTTAGCTCTCAGATGAAAATTATTACTATATGTGGATGCTGATGACATGTTAAACAAACACCTAAACAAATAAAATCCCACTACAAACAATAACATAAATCTTCAATGGATACATCAAAATGATTGATATTTATGCAAAAATTATACTAATTCATATAATCTTTAATTGATGTAAGTATCAAAGAATTTTCGTTATTCACACTTCTTGTAACTTGTACAAAATTATTCAAACAAAGTTTCCTGTCTTTTCTGATCATATCAAGTAATAATGATAATATTACTTTACTTTAAACTTAAGTTATAAGCAAATAAGTTATGCATTGGCTAGAAACTACTCACAATAAAGCAAGTAATACTAACTACACATTTTACCCAACAATGTTGAAAATATGTGCTATTCAAAACATAAATAAATGGAAGTAATCAAATTAGCGTCAATTATTTGCTATTTTTATAGTGCAAACATTTCAGCAAATATTTACAGCGAAAGAAAGAGACAAATAAAAAAAATCCATACAAGCATGCAGAGTTATTTCTATCCATAAACAAATACTAACACAACTGTTAATATTTGATTTTTCTTTTTAATTTTCAACCTTTTAATAATTCTATATCCTCTTACTTCGATTTGCAGTGTAGCAAATAAAATGATCATATGATATAATTATTAAATATAATGACATAACTGCATACTGAGCCACAAGATCATATGAATAACGCTTGAAGTAATTGTAAATGACTGAATTTTAAACGTTTCTCACGGATTTACTTCACTGTGTAATACTGTACTCAATTTGCCTTCCACGTCTGATATACAAACAACTATCTACAGCTTTTAATAATAAACTGAATCAGACAAATTTATTAATAATAAATATATTTCTGCAACTTAGACATAAATGATTAAGCCCAAATTTGACTTTCTTCTATCAATTCTATCTCATTACTCGTATATTCTCAGTATAAAATAATAAAAAATTCTTTCTCAAAAAAAGATAGCAAACATAAGCATTTAAACAGAAATTGTGTGAGACTATGTAGCCAACTGCAAAAAGTATATATATATTATTTTCATTAGTGCTGCTGGGCTATGTGACAATATTTATTGATTCTATGAAATAGGCAGAAATTGCTCTTTTCGTTATTTAAATTAGTAGTCAACGTGTCGAGTAAGTAAGTAAGTAAGTACAGAATATAAGACAGAATGATTGTTTCTTGAATAAGAACTTTCTCTTAAACATATATACTTTTAAACTTATTCCTAGCATAATAACAAATGAAGCAAAAAACTTAATCATGTTTTAGAAGGAAAAACGACAAACTTTCACTTGATAATATTATCATTATCATTGCACAATCTTTTATTCACTCTTAAGTGAATAAGTTTTTAATTCCATCTCTACTTTAAGTACTTGCATGAATTATTAAAAATAAGCAAGTTATGAGAAATGAAGTAGTACATCTAAAAACAGTATTACAAAGAAACAAAAAAAAGTAAAAAAATTAGACGAAAATTTATTTTCAAATATATTGCACTAACAACACTGGTAATCTCCTTCTTAATAGTAGTCAGAAACTACAAACTAAGCAAAATATAATCAAAGAAAATGTATAATCCTTAATTTATTGTTTCAGCGTTTCATTTTTCGCACAAATATTCAGATGTAGAATTCGTTTTACTTTCTATACTTGCTCAAGCTTAATTGATTGCCATTATTTCAATTCTTATATATAGCACACTCAGCTAATTCATATTCTTGACAATATTTTGAACTAAACATTCTCATTAAGATATTTTAAAGCGACTTTTAAATACAAATGAACTACAAATGCATTGCTTATGTGAAATTTCTATTTCAAAATGAATAGTAATTTTGATAAATAAAATTTCATTTTTGTTAATTCACAACAATTATCTTGTAACCAAATTACACTGCTATTGAGAGTAATGTTAAATCGAAATCACTAATCTTTTTATGCAATGATATTCGTATAAAATATCTCCTTCGCATACTTTAATCTATAATTAGATTACCTTTCATCTTTATCAATTTTTTTTCCTATCCTTATTTTATCTGCACAAAAAAAAATTTATAATTCAAGTAATCTAATAAATTTTTACTCAGTTATAATAGTACAGTGAAGTTAAAACAGCAAAAAAATATCATATACATTTACTCTTGTTAAATCACCAAATTTTTAGCTAATTTCAATTACACTGTACACAAAAATATTGAATTCAATGCTCACATCAAGGAAACTTTTCAAAAATACCTTAAGCAGACTTCTCCTTTCCCTTCTAGAAAACAATTTGATGTATTGATGAATTAACAAAAATTATTTAGTTACTTCTCAATCATCAACTGATATCAGAGAGTTAAATATCCAAGTCAAGTTAGCATTCCTACATCTCCATAATCTGAAATACATTAAGGCATGCAGAAAAAAATTCCAAAATAATCTCTACTTCACCTAGAGTTGCAAAAACATTAATCTTTTTTCTTCTTCAGCTAATCCATTTCTTTACGTAGTAGCATTCGCAGCTGAAATGCAAGCATACATGACCTATAATATTGAATATTCACATCGTTTGAGGGTAAAAAACTTCAACTTTCCTATTTATTCCTTCAAACACGCACTATTCCTATAAAATCATTCATCAATATTAGCATGAAATTTTTTATCAAATGTACAGCATAATATTTATGCAGACTTTCATTATCAAGCATTCTGTACACCTTCCAACTTATCCTTCGAATTTAACGATAAATTAAAATATATATATATATATATATAAAAGAGATGAAATTGTGCCAACTAATATTTTTGTATAAATTAAAGTAAAAAACATGGATATATTGCAAAATAAAAATTACAAAAAAAATTCGCTCAAATTATTACTTCTACTACCTCATAAAATAATAAAAAACAAAAATATTATGCACTCTTTGCTTTAAATCAAATCCATCTCTCACTGAATTATTTCCCTTCACAAAATTGTCAATTATTCAATAAGAAAAATTTATCTTAATTATTCTATAACTTGCTTAAATAAAAAAATTGCATAGATAGAGTGAAAAACACGCTCTCTAAGTATACCATAAATTAAGTTTCTTCCTTCAATTTCTCTTTCTTTCTTGGATCAAATAATTAAAAAAGATTAGAGTTAGCTTAACTTACTTATTCTACGTGAATAACAATGATGATTTTCTTTTTAATCTACTTATACACACATCTTTAAGCCCTTAAATGGCTAAACAAGTAGTCATACAGGTACTTCACTTCTTCCATGACTAACTAGCAGCGTTTCGCACATCCAATCTAACTA